AAATTATTACTAAAACTGTCTGGTGAATGGTTTCCAATATCATCTAAAACTAGAAACATATTAACCCACACAGTTGATCATATACAATGTACGGTATGACTACAGCACACTGTATCCGTCCTTGCAAGTCGTCATCGTTCGTCGACCATAAAAACTAACATTTTCGAATTTTTTTCTTAGAACCACAGTAGCGATTGACTCTGATCTTGCTTAAAATTTCTTTTGGTACACTATAAACACAAGCTTTGTTACTTTTCTCTCCGATCCAAAAATTTAAAAAAAAATGTCTGCCATTGCCTCTGATGGGGTACCATCTGTTTCTTGATTGAGTTATTTTCGATTTCTAAAGAACTCTTCAGCGACTCAATCCGACCTTGGTATAACTGTTCCTTGGCGGTCCAGATATTGTTACGTTTCGTGTTGATCCCACAATACAAAATGGCCGTCTTGACCTCTGCTTGGCTGAGACACGTTTTGCTTCTTATACAGAACTATTATACCAGTTGATATAAAAACATTGTATTAATTTCCTCATAAAGTTTCGACGAACTGTTGTTAGTTTTCTTTCCGTAGTCTACCCATACGAAAAGGAAACACAGCAGTGGTCTACCACTGACACCACAACGCCGAGCGCGTCGCATGGATGGTAGACGACACATATGTCCAGACGTTTCCTATGAGACGTTGGATGTCCATGCTCTTCAGTGATGAATCTATTCACATCATTTCGAGCAGATGGCCGTCAACGTGTTAGTTCCGACAACGATATGAGAGTTAAATCATGCTGTGTTTTTAAATAATGATAGGCCAAACGTTGCAATTTTCAAGGAATGGAATAACGATCATGTAAGGGCAGTCAATGCCACAGCATTTAGAGAGACTACATCCTCGACACTGGCTTACGCTCTCTGCACCCTTGGAATATGTCATAGCAAAATTGAAGGCAAGAAGATAGCTAATTAACTGGTCTTAGGTAAACAAAAACCCTTACCAATTGCTAGGCTGATGTCTGTCTTTTTAAGATTACAGTGGAGCGACACGCGACTTCGAAGCCAATGATTTTACCGTTGTGCGACCGCGAGATTCTTTTGATGTACATAAGGGATCGAATCTAGTCTTCTTGTCTCATCCACAAGGTGGCTTTATTCTTACTATGGTGTATTCCAGGGGTGCAGAGAGCGTAGGTAAGCGTAAAGCTTACAGTATCGTGGATGAGGCTAAAGCTGTTCGAGAAGGACACGCGCGATGATTAGGGAATGGTTTTAAAACTGCCGCCATTTTAACTTTGAGTAACCTAGTGTACATTATGTAATAAATACCCCCCTTTTGTTAGAATCCCTAAAAATGTAGGCGATTGGTTCAATATTCAAAGTTAATTATTAGATTTAGACATATTGCTCAAAAACATTATTTTATGAACACTTAAATTGACGCTGTGTTTCTTTCTTTTTTTCTTTTGTACGGCCTATGCCCTGTTTTTAAGGCATCAAACCGCTCAGCTGAAAAACTAACACTAGCGACTATACTACACTATCGCCTCCTCCCAAAACACACTAAGTTTGTATGGACTTTACGATGGCCAACAGCCCGTTACACTTGACATGATCATTTGATTAGCTGCATCGCAATATATTGATATGAAGAAATGTGAATTTCAGAAATATTAAATTAAGCATAGTATAAATACGACGAGTACTTTCATATATGAAACCTTCATATCAAGATACTAGCTAAGAGTAATGTTAAATTTTATTTACTAATTTGATACATCATGGGGGTACATGTAACGATAGAAAACACCTTTCTGACTCAAGCATTTATATGAATTTACTTATTATGGACTCTACAACTCATTGGGAGAGGCCAACGAAACACGTACCAACATCTTCCACGCACTTTTCATTTCTCAGGTTATTGCCATACATAGTATATTTGTTAAGCACTTTTTCACATCACTTTAATTCCCACTCAGTACAGATAAATAACTATGAATATATATACTGTCGTCTGATGGAAAGCATACAAGCAAGGAAAAGTTTAGGTCAAGTAAAGAACCTTGAGCCACACCAAAATCTATGTCAAAGTAACCGGATGAAGTTGTAAAACAACCATGTCTGGAAATTAACTGATGTGCTCTTAGTATTATTAGCCGTTTTAGGGACTTCAACTCTCAGAGGGACATTTCACCCAAATGAAAGTAACTCCGGGCTAGGGCCCCTGGGGTCCGCAATGCATACGTATTACATTTCCAAACATAGTTTATCAAAGCTTAATTCTAACAACGGTGCATAATTTGCATATCACATTCTTAGAAGAATGATCACAGGTGACACTTACGGCATATGTATCATTTCAAACTATACAAATCGAAACGATGAAAGGGAGTTAACCCTCGTATGCGAAGAAAATGTTGTCCATTTTTAAACCGTTCTGTCTTAGCTCAGGGTAAATGCTACCTTGTTTGATATTATCAAGAGATTATCTGTCCCTCGGAATTTTGATGTCCGATAAGATGCATGTTTGTCAACAAGTTTCAAGTCAAATATGAGGTAAATCTAAAATAAATCTTATCAAAGTCCTGAGTAGAAAATCACACGTGCGGTCCCTCTTAGAGATTTCATTTTTGTACTTATGTTAAAACAAATACCCCAAAATAGGACTCTCGGGGTTATAACGGGCGTATACAAGTTATTTATAGACACACAACTAATCCTTAAGTGACGTATTCTGTCTCTGCACAGTTCTAAATAGACAAGTGGCTGATTAAAATCTCATTTGACAATAATCTGTGGACAAGTTAATACGGCGATATCGATATGAGGCTGCCGGTGATCGTGTACGTGCAACTCGACTAATTTATCATCAGGCAGATAGCACTACACCTTAATAACATGTTATTGTCAGACCAACCTTGATCTCATTTAAAGGTGGAAAACAAACACTTCATGCATCGATATATCTCTAACATGCATTGTCACAGGCATCAAGGACGTCTGCAACCCTAAAAATCGGTCAACGTTCTCCTGGAGCAAAAACTGGGGGGTGGTGATGATTTTCAAACAACAATTAAGATGTGTATTTTAAGGGGAACGGGTACCACATTTTTTCTCAAACAGATGTAATTTTTCTTTTACAAATAACGTTTCTTCGATGGTTCCGTCGCGGAGTCTTACTTATTTCAAACTGCTGCGATGTTTCCTTTCGTGAAAACAGGGAATAAAGCCGAGTTTTTGTCTAGTTTAATGATTCTAATGATCGCGCATACATGTACATGTATGTATACTGCAGGGGTTTCTGCCTTTATACGTCTCTGGTATGGGTGATGGCAAACAAAACCACTCTCCAGGCGCGTAACAACCTATGTAGCAAAAAAGCCCGGGCTTACACATCATTTTTGACAAAATAAAAAAAAATATAAACGCAACATAGACTATATGATATAACATATTAAAAAGCAATGACAGACGTTTTGTATCTGCTATAAAGACCGCCAACTTACTAAAATGCTTCGTTACAATCAAAGTCTCTAACAAATGTAGAACTGAGGGTAGCATATTCATTCGGCATGGTAATCGCGCCAGTGAAACTCTAGTCTTGCTAATTATCGGTGTACCCAAACACTAACTCTAGTTTTCCCCGTGAAATAAAGTGTTTCTAAGGTTTTTTTTTTACCGCTTTTATACATATAAAGGGAACAATATGGTTGGTAGCCTGGCTTCAATCATTTGACATGGTAACCGTGTCAGTGCAACTCTAGCTATGCAAATTATTGGTATACACATAGTACTCGCTAGCCCCCGCCCCCCGTGAAATAAACTGTTCCTATGATTTTTATCCCCTTTATTAATACAAAATACATATGGAATGGTCATAAACCATGGCTTTGTATTTTACACATTGACCAGTATATCGGTTCTTATGTACATAATGTTAAACTATTCCTAGTGCTAGCTTGTGATACTAGTCTCATATCCCTGCGCAACCGGAGTCACAGTCGCGAGGAGAAACGTCACACTCTTACAACAACTATCCCAAAATCCACATGATTTTAGATTTTTCTTTTCCGTGGAATAATGTTACCGAACTCCATAATAGAATTGGCGTAGATGAGTACCAATCCCTACGTACCCAAAAAGAAGCAAAATATTTGTAAAATAATAGGGGAAAACGATATTTTCTTGCTTTAAAATGGCCATTAAAACTGACACCAGAACAAGGGAGAACGCGTCTCATGTGTTCTAGAAAACAAAATTCTCCTGGGGGAGACCCCCCAGACCCCCACCAATGGGAGGGGGAAAACCCCCTCACATACCCTCCCCCCGCCTCGCGCTACGCGCTTCGGGGTGCTGCCTTCGGCAGCACACTTCATCATTGGGCTTACACATTGAAAACCCGTTTGTTACGCCCCTGCTCTCTAATTGATTTCTGTAGATGTTCTTATTTGTTTGAACCTAGAGATATAACCATGGCCAATATGCAAGTAAAGCTGAATTGAAATCATGTGCTACAAAAACAATGTCAGTTTTATAATTCTCACCAGAGACGCACATTACGTATTTTAAAAAATAAGTATGGTACATAGTTGAATATCAGCGATGTGCATATGCAGAACAAATAAACTTATAAGAAAATCAATGGCTCCAGAAGTAAGTCTTTTTTGAGACCCTATATCAAAATATATGGTATGGTCCTGAACCAGAGACGTATATACTAATGTTACTATGGCTTTATATGTCTCTGCCTGAACGTACTGAACAACTTCGAAAATTTGAAGATAAATGTCAAAAGAGGAGTAAGACGGAAAGTTTCATTCATATACAGTAGCTAAACCAACATCTTACCAAAATAGAAAAAGGAGTCAACATTTTTTTCACCAAAAACGAAAACAACTTATTAATTATGTAATTTTATTTCGTCATTCAATCTAACCATACTCGATTCGTACCTTGAGTTTTGAAGTTACCTCCCTTGTTAGACTCTTTCGTTGTGTAAGTTAGGAATGCAAGGCCAGCGCCATCGGAAAATTCAAGTTCTATCATGAAGAATAGATGTAAACATACCAGTTATATATGGTTTATGGAGAAAAGTGTGATAGTTGATTAGTGCACTGAATTATATTGAGATATTCTGATCGTAATATTTTGCAGAGAAGTATCCAGCATCAATCCTGAAGTCTAGAAAACTCCCAGGTACGAGGAGTTGCTACGCACGCTAGCGCTGCCAGTTTACAGATGAACATTGAGGAATCGTACTGATCCTTCTATTTAAAACAAGACCGGTCGTGCATACAATTTGAGATGTCGTAAGTTGGTGTTATGGATATGTCATTTTTTACCATATCAAAAGAAAGTGGATTTACAATGTTTAATAGATATTGTATCTTTAAATTCAATCAATCATTTAATACAAAATAACCTACGATGGGACAAACATATTACAGCCAATGCCAATAGACCCCTAGGTTTTCTAAAGCGCAACTTCAAAATAAACTCACCACATATAAAAGAACACGCATACAAAGCACCAGTCTGACCAAAACTTGAATAAATGCTCTTCCATTTGGGACCCACACAACACAAACCAAATTTAACAAATAGAAAAAACACAACGAAGAGCAGCATGCTACATAAACAACAGATACCACCACACCAGCTCGGTAACAGACATTTTCTACTTCTAAATGGTAATGCCCAACTTCAACAAGTTGAAGATAATGTCATGGGGGAGAAAGAGATTTAGGCGATTCCGAGAAAGTCAAAATAATTTTGGGAGTACAGTGACAGGAGAGCAGATTTAAAAGATTCAGTAGGAGGATATGATATCTGGTGGGATCTTATTCCACTCAGATATTGGTTGCTGCTGGTATTAGTCTAGTGTGTTTACTAATAACTACCTGATTGTTTACAAATTTGAACATCATACATAGGCTTGTGTCTCTGTGTCTGTCGGCAAGGGATCGCCATTTAAAATGGTTCAGCATATCAGAGACATGTTCTATGAGTATGGACGGTTTTGTTTAGTACGTAACGAGCAAACCTGCTTTATACCATTTCAATCTTATTGATGTTATATATCCTGGGTGTATGGGTCCCAAACAGGACAGGTATACTCTAGGGATGGATGGACTAATGATTTGTACGCTTGTGCCTTAACTGATGTTGAACCTATTTTTAAGTTTCGACGGAGGAAGCCAAGGGTGGAATTCGCTTTGTTGGTAATATTATTTATGTGGGAGTCCCATTTTAAGTTCGATTGAATTGTAACACCCAGGTATTTTTCTTGGTCTATCTGTTCTAGCTTATGCCCATGGAGGATGTAATTATGGATAATGGGGGTTTTCCCCTTAAGCTTGTTCACAGACAACACATTACACTTGCTGAGGTGGAAGACCATTTTCCATGCCTTTTCCCAGTGCGCCAGTTTGTCCAAGTCAAGAGTTTCAGCATCACTGTTAGACTTGACAACTAGATAAGCGATAGTGGCGTCTGCGATCAAGTGGATGGTAGCATTAAGGGCTACAGGGATGTCGTTAATGAAATAAAGAAATAAATTGTGTCGGAGGACCGATCCCTGGGGCACACCAGAATGGACGTTAAAGTCAGACATCTCCCCCTCCACAACTACAGATTGCTTTCTGCCAAGAAGGAAATTCTCAATCAAGTTTACTACCTTTCCTTTTACACCGTAGTACTTTAGTTTGTGGATGAGTAGGGAATGGCTGACTTTGCCGAAAGCCTTGGCGAAGTCCATAATGAGAATATCAGTTTGGCTTCCTTCGTCAAAGCATTTAGATATGTCATCGATCAATTTGATCAACCGACTTTCGCATGATCGAAAGCCATGTTGGAACAGATACACGATGTTGTCTGTATCAGCATGCGTCATGATGTTAGAAATGACGATGTGCTCCATTGCTTTACTGCAAATGTATGTCAGTGAAATCGGTCTATAATTTTCTGGATTAAGTTTCTGTCCTTTTTAATAAATGGGGGGATATATTTGCCAATTTCCAATCAATGGGGACTAGACCTGTAGCCAAGGACTTGCTAAAAACTAGTGATAGAATGGGGGCTACTTCGGTAGCAAGTTCTTTCAGTACCTTTGGTTTTATGTCATCGGGTCCTGCAGCCTTATGCAAACTTAAACCTTTGAGAAGTTTTAATATACCATTTTCATGAATCTCAATATCAGGCATGGTTGGAAATTGATGGTCAAGAGGCATGTTACATCTGAAAGTAAACTGGCGATCATTGAGAGTTTTGGGTAGACTAAATACAGATTGAAACTGCGTTGAGCACTTGCGCTTTGTCAACAGGCTTATGTATTTATTTTCCCTCTTGCTTTAGTGGGGAAATGCCGCAGTGATCGGATCGTTTGGCTTTATGTTAGACCAGAATAGTTTGTTATTAGGATTTGGACTATTGGGATTTATTATATCTTCAATATGATCCCAGTAAGACATGATCCACAAACTACAATTGCCAACACTACAATTACAGCATTTTCACACAAGAATAATCCTTTTTTACAAAATTGTACACCAAATCGTAGCAATAAACCCAACATCTATACTCACACTCATAGACCCTCGAACCAGACATGCACACCCTTACGCATACAAACACATATCTGCTACAAAGGACACCTACAAATATTCATTCTTTCCACACACAATAGCACAATAGAATATCTTACCCATAGCAGCAGTACAATCCACAACACTTAAGGACTTTAAGAAGGCACACATTCCCTATGCAGCCCTTGAAGCCCTCATCACACGCTAAAACACATGCAAGCATTTTACATTTTATCTATACCCTCCATATTGATGGAGCCCCTACAACCTAAAGAAGAAGAACCAAAGAACAACACTTCTAGAATTTACAATTAGCACCACACATTACACAGACGGCTATAACAAAAACGAAATCACGATAAATGATAATCATGTAATGCCACACTTCCTGCCAAATGGATGTTCTTGGTCATCATTGATGGAGGGCATTGATATTATGTAACTGAAGGACACGTACCATATAATTTTTGACAGGTTTTGATGATGTTCATATATTGGTGATTTTCATGAAATCTTGTCATGTGTACTGATGAAGCCAAACTTGAATTCTTTCAGGTACAGTGGTACTGTAGTCTAAGAATATGTGCACATGCATGCATACTGCATTCAGTTTGTCTTTGATTTCATTTTCAAAGTCCACAGACAGAGTTGGACAAACGCTACTATAGCTGGATCTATATTTTCATAGTAAATAAATACAAATTTTCACCACAGCCGTGACATAAAAATCTACTTGCCCTGATCATGAGCATCAGACTAGTGGAAGAGTACACCACTGGGCATGGCATTGGTGACCAAATAGTAATAGACATTTCTGAATCTGGTATTTAAATGGTAGCCATTTGAAACAGATCTGCATGGTCTATCATTCACTGATAGATCAGTTGGTTTGAAAGTTGAAGAGTAATAACCATCATTTTGAGTTTATGCTCTGATTTGTAAACATTTTAAGGCCTATTTTTTCCAGCCCTTATAAAAATGTAACTTGCTAATCAATTAAAACTTTATTCAAAATTCAAATTTAGGATGAATCATTTTTGGAGCATTTTGTTTATAAATATGAATTTTAAACAGCATCATCTTGGTTTCTTTTAAGGGATCCAAAACCTAAGAGAAAGAAGAGGAAGCAGAAGCAGCGCTTGCTTCCAGAAGAGGCTGGGGATGACGCTGATGGAATATCAAATCCTATTTTGGTAAGTTACTCATCAAAGTCAGGTGAATATATGTGATTGCTAAATCATGTAGCTCCAGATCCCAGTTTATTAGTTAGCTTAATTATGATTCAAAGTAAAAATAATTTACTATTATATTGAAATATCTACATTCAAAAGTTGTTCAAACTAGATTTTACAGTACTGTCTGTAACAGGACACTTTTGTACCATTATTGAATTTGCAGCTGAATACTTCCATGAAAAGAGTGAAAATAATGTGAAAGTTACCTGGCCTTGTAGCTGCAAAGTAACATTTAACAAATATAAATTTTATTTGTGCTAGTAAATAACTTTAAGAAATCATTTAATCAGACTGGGGAGGAGTCTGATACTGGCCTGGTGTACAGTGGAGGAGAAACATCAGGAGGGGAGGTAAGTTATCAAACCCTTTTACTGTAAGATATATACTAGATGTTGACCACACCTAGTTACTTAGGATTGACACATACATGTACAATTATCAGGATAAATTTGGATTTTGACTAATTTAGAATCCAAAATATTTGTTATGATTTTTGTTATAATGTAAAGAATAACTTGATTATAATGAAATTCATTATTTATTATTCTAATGATAAACTGTATATTTAATTTTTGTGCAATCCGATGGGCTTGTATTGTGATATTATTACCTAGTCAAACATTACCTGTTGATTTCTATGCAAATGCATCAGTTGTTTATATACATTTAGTGCCTAAATCATTTTGAGGCTGTAATATATAAATAAATAAAGGCACCCATTTTGTAATATTTTCAATCTGTAACTATTTATGTAGTACAAGAACAGTTAGAAACTGTAACTGGTACAAAAGAGCAGGGATCAAACTGAACAGTAGACCCAAAGACATCATTTCCTTATAGACCAAGTTTGTCATGAAACTATTTCATATGATGTAAAAGACTCACTGACATGTATAGTACAGAGCGAAAAAACTGGTTTTTCTTCCTTTATAATTATCCGTATTTTCTACATTTTATATTATAAAGCTCTATGTAAGTATAATTTTCTTAGCCAAGGACCAGTCTCTGAACATTTTAGTAGGTCGATAAGAAATCAACATTACATAGACCCGTGGTCTATGGCGTACATTCTGAGACTACAAGAGAACGTTTAATGTAATATCACATTTCAGTTTAACATCATTGTTCTCGGTATGCCATCATGTGATTTAACATGAACTGATGTGAACTTCTCTTAATATCATAATCCAATGCAAGTCACCAAGTGATTTGTCTAGTTATGAAATATGTTTAAAATCATTCCCTCTATATAACATTAGGGTTGTAGGTGTATAAAAAAAAATGTGGGGAAGCTAGAAACACACATATTTGATTGTTTGGTCTATTCAGGTTCTTCAAAAACTATGATTTTGACATGTCAATCATTTTATGTCTTGTAGACTGCTGAAGATATTGAAGAGGCAGAAAATCTTGCTCAAGATTTGAAAACAAAGCATGCTCAAAAGCAGCGAGAGGTATGTCCTACACAGAGTTAATAGAAAACCATCTAGTCATATTGTACAGTGACTAATATTTATATCATATTCATAGATATTTGTTTACCTTTGTTTACTCTTTCTGTTAAAAGTATTTTTTCTGGTATCTATGGTATTTCAGCTATCAGAGGTGGTATCGCCCAAAGATGACCTGGCAAAGGAACTACGCAGCGGTAAGAAGAAAAGTAAAGAGAAAGTGGAGGAAACGATCCGACAGGAGCAGGAGGAGAGTGCAGGGGAGGAAACTACCACCTTACAGACCGCTACAGAGGTGGCCGACGATGGTACCCTACCCATGCCTGAGGGGGAGGAGACAGGGGACGGAATACCAACCCTCGGGGACGGAGAGGAGGAAGACGAAGAGAGCAAAGTCAAAAAACTCAAAAAGAAGAAAAAGACTGAAGAGTCTGAAAGTAAGTATAATTGATAACGCATTAAAAAAGTTTAATAAGGATAAATATATTGTTAGCAGGTTAGCATCAATTCTTATCATCTTCAATATCCAAGGGTAAGAAATGTTCTTGATAACCATGCACATACCTTCTCTGCACCCTTCGACTTTCTCCTGGCAGAACAGAACTGAAGGCTTATGGTTAGCTGTTTGATAGGTTCCAGACATCCTGACATCACAGACCTAGGTTGTAGGACCTTACTTTGAAGGTTATCAGACTTGCTCTGAGGTCAAAGTCAGTCAGTCATACTGTTTTGTTGCCTTGCGATTAACTTTTATCTTTAATCAAACATTTTCTCTGAAATCACAGGTATATAGATTTTTGGTACAGTTTCTGGATTAGTCACCTTTATATCATCCATAAAGTGGCAAATACAGTAGGTTTGATTCTGTCTCGAGAAAACTCTTGATTAGAGTGATGATGTTGAGTGGAACTTTTTGTTTTCAAATATGCAATTATAGATAGGACTATGATAAAGGACATTCAAATCTCTCCTAACAAAATCCAGAATAATTTTAAAAAATTCTGTATGGGTGAATTTTCAAATACTTTATAAATCAAACATTATTTGTACATACAACTGGGGGGTGGAGACCCAATGCCCCTGCAAGGAAGTCAGTTCCATAGTGGCGGTAGGGATCCTGGGGTGGATACCTTAATGGTTTTCAACAGTGCTCATCAGGGAAAGCAGAGCAAATGAAAATAGAAATGATGAGCAACAACACCACTGAATCCGGTACAAAATGTAATGTTTGATTTACATCCTACGTATTATTTGTAAATGTATATTAAATCAAAACCTTTGTCTTCTCTGAATGAACATGTGGTCCCAATTGTAGGATGATTTCATGTACATTGTGTGTTTATGTTTCCTTGTTTGTCAGTTACTCCATTGACCCAGGAGGAGGATAAGGAGGAGGATGAAGACAAGAAGAAGGAAGAAGAAAAGAAGGAGGAACCTGCCCCTCCCAAACCAGAGGAGGACACCAAAATTTCAAAAGGAAAGACCCTCAAGGATCGTCTTAAGAACAGGCTACAAAAAGCTAAGGTACACCTGTAAACTACACATGAGTAACCTTATTTAACTTAATATTTACACTAGGCACAAATCTATTTGGGACAATTGAAATGTTTGCAGAACCTTCCATACTTAATAAAAATGGTGTAGCAATTTGTAAACAGATATATTTTTTCTCAATTAAGTTGAAGGAATTGAATGCTTTGACCAGAACAAGATTAGAGAGCATTATTACTGTAACATAATCTGGGTGTGTTGTTTTCTTGTTCATTACTTACAGGTGACAATGAATTGAATCCTACAAAGCACATTATTTGAAAAACAAGTTAAGATAAATTGGGTATTGGTATTAGTATAATCAGTAGTATGTTATTTTCTTAAGTAAAAATCTTGGAACATTGATTATTAAATAAAAGACTAAATGAGCAAGACAAAGTTTCTAATTTGAATAAGAAATGCCCAAGGAAAGTATCTAGTTACATTTTGAAATATTATTTACGCAACTTTTCAAACAGGAATCTGCTGTGTCGGAGGTCAAGGAACAAGAGAGAGAGGAACGACGAGAGAAACGACTCAAGCGGGACCAGCAGGTCACACGATTTGATACCGAGGTATGTTACCACACGATTTGATACCGAGGTATATTACCATACATGGCTACGTTACATTAGTAATAGTGTACACATATACTTGGTGTCTTAATAGCTATCTTCTGAAATCGATGTCATAGTGATTTTCCTGTTGGTGTCATGTTCATCCCATTAGTCCAATGACCCTGCCACAGATATTTCAGTTTCTTTTACAATTCAGATTTTTAAATTAAATTTGAAAATATTATCTTTCTTATCTTTAAATTCATGAAATTTAAGTGTTGTTATACCTGTTTAATAATGTTTTATCTGGCAAATAAAGGAATGATGCAAATACAATATCTGTTCCTCCGTGAAATAGATATCTCATCTCCGACGAACTATAAGTCTGTTTCGTGAGGTAATAATGAGAGTTCTAATGTTAAACAAACAATGGACTGGTACATTTACAAACTATGAAAAGGACAAAAGAAATTGAAATGTAGATATTTTTTTTTATAAATAGACCTAGACAGGACACTAATTCTACTTTAAACATGTTTTGTCATGCCTTGAATTGTATAATGTTATTAAGTCAGAAATATAATGTGTCTTGTACAGCGTATTTGAGGCCTGAATATATTTCATAGGCAGTGTCCTTTTTACAGCACAAAAATGTACCAGTCTATTTTACTGTTAAAATTTGTTTTAACAATACTTAGATAAAGATGGAAACAATGTATTTCCAAGCAAGATTATATTAGTAAATCAAATACCGGTTCACTTTCCAGGATAGTGCTGTGAGAAAAAACAACCTATAATTTAATTTTACACTTTAGTATTCAACCGTCTTAACTTCTATGTCAAGGTTATTTTATTACAGATACAAAAGTAAAGTGATGTTTTGCACTGTGTTTCAAAACTCTACTGTCAGAAAATGCTAAAATGTGATAAGTACAAAAGCATGAAATAGTAAAAATATGAAAAGCACAACCACAAAAAATGAAAGAACAATTAAAATAGCTTTACACCATATAATTTATAATTTAAGAAGTATTTCATGAAGTTTATTGTAGCTGTTAGAAGTATTTTTATTCTAACAATTTACAAACTGTAATTTATGTTAAACCCTGGTTTGAGTGTTCACCTTCTCCTTTGGATGCCTACGTGTTATCAGGCTGTTTGTGTTGATATTTATATGAAGTTGTGTGTTTTTGTTCCCTCTATTAAATTGTTTTAATGGATATTGTTCTTGGAAATGTTTTTTTATTTCTTTGATGAAAATCACATTTTCTGATGATGACAATGCTGTAGTGTGATAAGTTCAGTGTAAATATAATATCCGTTTCTGATTTTGAAGTCAGACTCTATTTACAACCAAACTTTCTATAGATATTTTGATTTATTATCAACATATGACCTTTATTACGTGCTTGATTCTGAGATGTGTTTTATTTGTTTATTTACATATGTACAGAATTCATTTTAAAGATCCAGTGTAAACAAACTAATGAAAGATTTATTAAATTTTTACTAATTTGGTGTAAAACACTGCACAAGGGTTTCTAGAAATACATATGGAAAGGGGGAAGGGAACAGCAGGGATACATGTTTGTCAGACATCAATGTCACACCATTTTCTTCCTGTGGCCCACTTTACAGTATTCCCTGCATCCCACATATTCATATCTAGAATAGACTAAATAATAAAGTGAAATTTTAGAATCTCTGAGTCTGATGTGACTTTTTTTTTTTTTACTTTCTTAAATGATTTTCTTCATTTAAATCTCTTAGTACGATGAAGGTGAGATGGAGAGACTTGAAGAAAGGTCGAAGCTAGTGAGGATGCGACTGAAAAAGCTGAGTCAACAGCCAACATCTGATAGGGTATGTACAAAGTCAACAAGAACTTTAATATCCAGGTCTGGGCCTTCAACGCTTTTGTTACATTTATGAGTCAATAATGACATTTTAAAAATATAGTTTTCAAATGTTTCTGAATTTATATGCAAAAATTACCATTGTTTCTTGTTTTCAGACAGCTTATGTTTAAACTTAACAATACATATTTCATTGCTAATTTCATTATCTTTGAAAATATGTTTTATGAAAAATGTGTGTGAATTTTTCATTAAGTTAGCACTGAACAATGTACATGATTAACATTAGACACTCTAAACATAAATATTCAATGTCCAGATATCTAGTATCTCTATTTTATTAATGATATTTCAAATTTAATTACTTGGACAGTGTATTGAAAATGTCCATCTGATAGCAAGAAGCACAAAAAATATTGAAAAATTTTGAGAAAATTCCTGAAAAAGAAAAACAGTTTAGATAATTTGTGTTAATGACTCATAGTAAGAAGGTTTTGAATATTCAGACCCTTTTTCTGGTACTATTTTAAGTATAATCATGGATCTAGTTTAGTTTCAAGCTATAATCCTGCTAAATGTTAACCTTTATATATATATATATATTATCAATTAGTCATTCATCCAGATGTTAGTCTCACTATATATTTGTATGTTACTGCTTTCTTATTAAGTTATAATCACACATAGACTGAAACCTGTATAATCTAACACCCTTGTGGAAACAACATATTGGTCAGATTAACCTGTCTAATCTGACACCTTTAGGGTCACAACATATTGGTCAGATGTCTAACCTGACAACCTAAGCCTTTTGGGCTAACATATTTAGTCCTAGTAACCTGTCTTATTCAACACTGTGGGACAAAATACTTTGTTAAGATTAGGCAGGATTTCAAAAGACTAGTTATATTTGGTAGTTTTCATAAGAAAAGAGATAAGGGTAGGAGTTTGGGGATAAGTAATTACACAGTAACATTCAAACATCTACAATTTTGATTTTGATTTCAGAAGATATATACAGCTATATTTTGGGTAATCTATAGTATAAGTCACAGACATGAAGGACAATTCTAGGTGGGGTATTTTTAATTTGAAAATTGTTCATATTCATCTTATAGTAAATGATGCTTTAGGTAATTTCTACAAAACCTTATTCCAAAATGAAAAAAAGTTGGAAGTTTCGATACCAAAAGGGTCTTTTAAATGTTTGTATTGTGATAACAACTGTATTTTATGATTTAAATCAAAAACCGACATTTTATTTAGTTTGCATGACTTTATAGAATAAGAGTTTTAGAATATGTTGGTATTAGAGTATTTCCCTTTAGACTAATTCCTCTTATTTATATATCCTTCCACCCTGACTCCTATTTTAGATGAAACAAATGCTGGAATCCAAGGTAATCTCCCAGTGTTAACATTCACACTGACGTTTGTGGTTTAGTAACATTGCTGTCTGTTTGTTTGTTGTTTACATCCAGTGCTGTTTGCTGAAGTGCACCACCTGAGTTATTGCTTGTTACACTGCTTTGATAGAATTTTGTTTGAATTTCAGATTAAAAACAATGTAAAGCAAAAATATGATATATCACAATATGTTTCATATATCTTATTTAAATGTTTATTTTTAAAACAACATCATTTGTTCTTTGATCTTAAATAAATGAAAATTATTATGAATAAAACTGAAAAACAATGTAAACTTGAATGTTTGCAAGATTTAAAATTTTATTGAGAAATCTATATAAATTTGTGTTAACATTGTGTGATATTGTTAGTACACTTGAACTCAATTTTCACTGTTGTTTCCCTTTTTACCACTACCTCAGAACAGAGTTGTCTCCCTTTTCCCATTAGACCTCTGTATTTAGAGCTACTGTATCACCATCTATATATGCAACCATATTTTAGCTCTCCTTTTGTATCTTTGACCCAAAGGTTCCCCCCTTATCTCTCTATTCTCAAGTGGTCTGTTTCCTTCCATGTGTGTCACCTTGTACACATAATTATCTCCCCTTAGATTTGCCTCACTGAGCACAACTGATCTGTCTCCTTCCATGTGTGTCCCCTTGTACACATGATTATCTCCCCTAAATTTGCCTCACTGAACACAGCTGATCGGTCTCCTTCCATGTGTGTTCCCTTGTACACATGATTATCTCCCCTAGATTTGCCTCACTGAGCACAGCTGATCTGTCTCCTTCGTTGTGTGTCCCCTTGTACACATGATTATCTCCAGTAGATTTGCCTCACTGAGCACAGCTGATCTGTCTCCTTTCATGTGTGTCCCCTTGTACACATGATTATCTCCCCTAGATTTGCCTCACTGAGCACAGCTGATCTGTCTCCTTCCATGTGTGTCCCCTTGTACACATGATTATCTCCCCTTGGATTTGCCTCACTGAACACAGCTGATCTGTCTCTTTAAAGTTGTGTTCCTCTACACGACTGATGTCTTTCCCCAGAGTTGTCCGCCCTAGCACACTAGATGTCTGAGTTGTCTGCCCTAGTACACTAGATATCTGAGTTGTCTGCCCTAGTACACTAGATATATGAGTTGTCTGCCCTAGTACACTAGATATCTGAGTTGTCTGCCCTAGTACACTAAATATCTGAGTTGTCTGCCCTAGTACACTAGATATATGAGTTGTCTGCCCTAGTACACTAAATATCTGAGTTGTCTGCCCTAGTACACTAGATATATGAGTTGTCTGCCCTAGTACACTAGATATCCGTGTGAGTCGTTCCTTCACACTTGGTTTGTCTCTTCTTTGTATGGTGCAGAGTGATATTATATTAAATGAAAGTATGAAAAAGAAACGGAACCAAAATGTTAAACAATTTTTCTGCACAGCTTTATTTGGACATCCTATCTGATGCTTTATCAGTGCTGGTATTCTTGAATTTACTTCACTTATTCCACATAGGACATCATTAATTATGATCTCCAGTCTGTTGGTGTGTGCAATTTGTTCACTTCATACAATATGCAGGTGACTTTAATTGGAATATGTTTTTGTTCTTTTCTATGAGTAGATTACAAAACTAGTAATCACTAAAATATGTTAATAGTGACATGAAGTGAAATGTTGCATGTAAAAAGACAATTGACTTGACAATATCTGTTCATTTATTATTATTATTATACCTTCTGTTAAAATCTCGTAATCTGATTGGTTGAGAAAGATGTGAACATTTTCAATGTTACTTGCTCGTTTTACAAAGATAAAGAAGACAGGGTGTTATTCCAAAAAATATCACATGCGCCAAACATATGCATGCACGGTTCGTCCCAGTGCCAGGGTGTTATTCCAAAAATTGTTACATGCGCCGAATGTATGCGTCCCTGGTTCATCCCAGTGAAAACTTTTCTGAAACGTTTGTCGACCTTTAAAAATGGTGAAGTGGTGAAACACCTAAACATGACACTCGGTATAATAAAAAAAAAATCAGATTCATGAGAGGGCAATATTACATATTTTCACCCCTCGGAAAGCATTGTTGACCTCGGCTTCGCCTCGGTCAACAATGCTTCCTTGGGGTGAAAATATGCAATATTGCCCTCTCATGATTACAATAATATTTTCATGGTGAAATTGATCTACTCTACAGATTGATATGTGTTAATTGTACATAAAAGTAATTCAATCAATCGAAAAATCATCTACATTTATATGGTTCATTTACCCAAAACATACAGGATCAGGCTCAGAAATGACAATTTTCACTTCTAATGTTGCCCCCTCGAACAGTATGTATTCATACTTATACAATTGTAAAAACTCAACATGAATACCAAACACTGCAAGTTTTAAATTACATAATATGAGATTTGAAAACTATATATATTTCATTATGCAAATGTTTTAATTATTGTATAATCTTATTCAGCAAAAAAAATGAAATACTAATTAATCATCAAATTGCACAGGTGAATTGTAAAGGTAATTTTATTAATCATCAAATTGCACAGGTGGATTGTAAAGGTTATTTTATTAATCATCAAATTGCACAGGTGGATTGTAAAGGTCATTTTATTAATCATCAAATTGCACAGGTGGATTGTAAAGGTAATTTTATTAATCATCAATCAAATTAAATGGCTGAATATCTTGCATACCAATATTTAGTCAGTCAAAAATATCAATGTAGCCTTATTGTAATTCGTTTATTTTTGTTGTCTAGGGGATCTTCATTCCTACAACTGAAGAGGCTTTTGACTTTTTCACCCGTAACTTTGATCCTGAGCCAGACGAAGAAAAGAAAGATGAAGCTGAGGAGAAAGCTGATACAGAGAAGGATGAAAAGGAAGATAAAGATGAAGAGGAGGCAGGTCCTAGTACTGAACCCAAGGAGGGAGAGGAAGGGGAAGAAGGAGAGGAAGGGGAGGAGGTAGGAAAATCAATCATACTTATAACTTACATTTGGCCTTGGTGTAAAGTGTTCAGCCAAGCAAGGCAGGCTGTGGGCTCTGTCCCCTGATCTCTGCTTGAAGCTTTAAACCGGTGTTGGTAAACACTGGTCAGCTTGTTGTCATAGTGTGACCGGTAGAGTGTCATGTGACAGTGTCCAGGTTATGACATTTCAGGGAGATTCCACTTTAATGTGACCTTGAGTGGTCCAGTCATTGTGGTGGGCAATATCTCCATATATAAGGACCTTGTTCTTGCATGGAAGCAAAACCTCTACTGAAACAGACGAATAATGAAACATTCATCAATGTTCACCATTTTTGTAAATGTCTGAAATGTGTTTTTTTTTATTCCTGTTTCAATTCAGTAAATCACACTGCTTACACCCTAGCATTGCAAATTCTTGCTGATAACAAAGTTGTAATTGTACCCCCCTAGCAAGGATTCCTCCTGAACATCACACTCTAGAATGAGGTAGGACTGCAGCAGACTAATTTTCTAGGTCTCCGGGCGTGCATTGTTAACGTGCTTCCTGTGCTGTCCTGTCACGTTCATCCCAATTTAGTCTCATCATTCTAGCTACTTCATATTTCTTCACAGATTTTACAAACTTCAAGTATGTGAATACCTCAAGTAAATTGATAATGAGGAGTTTCAAGGTCAAGACCAAGGTCGCTGTTACCATTTATAGAAATTTCAGATTTTCTTCATTGCAATATATAGTACATGGTATATAATTGAAAACAAAACATAAATGTACAAGGTGAACTATAGGAAGTGGTTTTGTTACTCTGTTGACTGAGGAGAAATGTTAATGCTTAGTCCGTGCTCACCACTTCAGCTGGTACTGGAATGGTCATAGATGTCTTTAAGCCAGAGTATGATACATATTTTTTTGTATTTTTCTTTTCAGGGTGATGCTGCCAAAAAAAAGAAAAAAGATAAAGCAAAAAAGGACAAAGAAACAGATGAAGGTTTGAAACTTTTGTTTGTTTTGGTGAGATTGAGTATATAGTTCATTTCAGTAAAAAGGACAGTTAACCTAGCCTGAGGGGTACAGTGTAGGTCCTTCTATTAAAATGGCACACTAGAAAAGTGGAGCAAACTTTGACTGAATTTGGTCTGGAGCGTTGTTTGGCCAATGGAACTTGTATCAACATTGGGTGGTAATTACTGAATTTAAAAAAATGAAAGATGAAGTCCTTTGTATAAACATCCTTTAAAAAAATTGGAAACATTGTTCTGCTTTGTTTTCTAGAGAAGACACCTCTACTTGACGATGTAATGGATGATGATGATGGATTCCGTCCTGTCGTGGTCAGAGGACCAGAGTTTCCTGACCCGATAGAGTTGCAGAAGAAAGAAGCAGAGATCTATTTTGTACCATCTGTTACAACAGGTAACATATAACATATATAACAGAAATCTACGTTGTACAGCATTTATATACAGGAAACTATCCTTTTCCTTATTATTACATCCCCAGGGAAAAGCCAGCACACCGGAAACAGTCAATGAGGTTCATGTCAATGAGAACTGAACCTTTCTTAAATATATGCATATCTATATTATAATCCTTTTCTATGAAATTTAAACCCACAGTTATATCACAGATAAAACACAGTAAATTGATCTGTAATGCACACCTATCTTTACAAAATAGTTTCTGTAAAGTTGCCAACTATTATTTACCCATGTTTGATATATTTCCATGTGATAGTTCCCTCAGAGCAGAAGGTATCTGAGGAGCAGCAACCCCGTTTCCTGGAGGACGAGGGTTTCTATGTTGGGACACGACCAGATCCTTCGGGCTGGAATGTCAATAAGATGGAGCATAGACTCCTCAAGGAACAAGATGTAAGTTATATACTGATCTTCTGCGAGGGAGATATGAAAATGTGTTTCCATGGGGGCAAACGTTTTTGCTGAGATGAGGTCAGAAGGGAACATGAGTTCTTCAGAGGGAACACATATATATTCCAGATTTCCCTCACACAAGAAATATTTTGTTACTTTGTTATCTTGAAGTTTTATTTGAATGGAGATATATAAGTGATTCTTGTCTCCTTACAAGTCTTGTTATCTGTCTTATGTATGACAACAAAGTAGCGGTGTTCAGTCACAGCTGTTCCTGTTTGGGAGAAGGGAGGGGAAGACAAGGACGGAGATTTATATCTGTGGGACACACTACATACAGGATCAATTTCATACCAGCTCAATATTGAAACTTCAAATCAATTTGATGTACATTTTCAAACAGGAAACAGGAAAATGAGTCCACTAGTGAGGACAAATGGTTTTGGTGTGGGATTTGAATCTTATTTGTTAAATTATCAACTTACTTTTTGTTTCCATATGATTTGTATAAGGCTATTATTTTACTATAATACCTACAGGGCCGGCGTTGGTTTGGTGAGGATGGACGTATGTTGGCCCTGCCTGACCCCCTCAGACTAACACCCTCACGACCTCCCGTCCCAGACGAGAAGGAACCCTACTTGGAGACTGTGTTTAAAGGGGCCATCATGCGAGAGTTTGACAGCAAATATATTGATGGATCAATGGACAACAGTGGATTCTATCAACTGGATGTTGATATCAATTCGATTGTAATGTCCCATCACCACCTATACAGCCGGGAACACGTCCTAGCCGCACGGCTCCAGGAACTCTACAGTATATTTCTAAGCAGGCAGATAAAAAACATGACTGAATATCTCACCGAGAAGCTAAAGGCTCTGAAAAGCTCAGCACTTCATCTGAAAGACCACATGCTTGCCCACAAAGTAAGGACTGATACTTGGTACTTGTTTCTGTGAGAACAATAAAAAGAAGGGAATAAAACTAGACAGCTACCTCCTCAGGACATTATGGGTATAAATATGATAAGCGTATTTAATATGCACTATGCTATTGGGCACATATATATGTACTGTAATTAAACATAACAGATGGAATGTCACCGAATTAGAATACTAGACTTTGCTTGGAAAATTTTTGCTTTTGGTGGAGCATCCTACTAGTGAACCAGAGGTTGATCTGAAGCAGTGACATTGAAAATGATTATGTCTGTTTTATGTACTTATATTATTTAAGGGCTCTAGGCTTCATCTGATGTATTTATACATCTTGTATGGTGTAATGAATTAGTACATCACTTCTTTCCTTGAGCAATGTACTTCAGAAAACATTATTTTTGATAGTAAGTGTTGTGCCTGAATAAACATAGCAGATATAGCACTTAATGCACTTCAATAAAAATACCATTAGAAAAAGTATGGTACTGTATGTCCAAGATCTTATCTTAGGCTAGCACAGGTTGTGGGCATTATTTAGGGGTAACATGATATTCCCCGGTGTATATCTCATTCCATATTTTCTTTATTATATGAACATGTACCTGATGTTTTTTATATGTTGTTGGGTAGATTGCTATCTGCATGTATCATTTGTGCTGCCTGGAAACAGGAGTGTATTGTTCTGGAAGTTCGACTAATTTAATATGACTACTGTTCTAGAGGAAAAATATGTTGTCTTTTTCCATCACAGTCAGAACACGGGTTTGCTGATCGTTCAAACTATGAGAGACGATTACGGGATTACAAGTTAGAAACAAGGTTTGTACGTTAATTTTACATAAGTTCTCTATACTTTAGTGTCAGTTTTTTTCATTTGACAGGTACAAATATTTGGACACAGAGTAACGTCTTTTTGAAAGTCATATCTTTTTTACTTGCATTTTCTTACTTTGGTTAAAGTTAATCTATGCTTTTGCAATAATGGGAAATATTTTATATAACAAAAATTGAATATTACTTTTATTTGTTTTCTTTTTTTTGCAAGAAATTAAAAGTTGAAGTGTTCAAAGCGAATTTTAGAAAAATAAAGCTGAAAATAGATGGAAGTAAAGGTCCTTTCCAAGGAAAATGAACACTGTAGGATTATTGACAAAGATGGGGATGTCTTTGTTGCTTGTGTATGACAGTAAATATGCATTGTTTATGTAGTCAAAGTCAGTGATGAACATTTTGTGCATTGGAATTTTGTACTTTGAATAATTTTTACTTCATATATGTTGTACAGTAAAACACATTTATAATGAATATTTTTTGTTATTCTCCTCGGAATTAAACAAAACAAATCTATTTTTTTATCTTCAATGTTCTTTCCATTGCATTTTTAAACTTTCTTCGGGATGGAGCTATCTCTGTACCAGATGATACAAGATACACTTCATCAAATTATTTTAAATTTGCAATAATGCTGTATTAATTGTTCTGCTGGCTTGATATAGGAGAGCTCGTGAATTGAGAGACAAAGAGGAACAAACAGACAGACAGATACTCAAAGGCATCATTCATACCTGGAAGGAAATCCGGGCACAGAGGGATACACAAAAATACAGCAACACCTCCGTCAAACTACAGATCAAGAAGTAAGTTATTACATATAGTTATGACGTACTGACATGTCATGACAACAGGCTCCAGTCTCACAAACAGTTAGCTTAGGTTTTCACTCTGTTTTCTCAAACCTAATTCTTTGCAGTTTTCATGCTATTCAGATTTCGCTCTGTATACCATGTTCAACAGGGGGAAAAATCATGCAATTTTATTTTAATTTGTTTAAAAATTAAATTGCTTTCATTATTCAAGAAACTGATATTACTGTCCTCAATCTTCAGTTTTCACTTCACTTTGAAATTCTAATTTATCTGAAGTTGAGCAAGGCTGCAATTGACAAACAACTGATGTGTCCTATAGCAACTTGTTTATTGAATAGGGGGTGACGAAATACTAAAATGTCTTTTTGGGGCAATATATATACTAAGAAGATTGAAATGTGTGCATGCATCATTAAATGTGTTTCGTTCAATGAAATGACCCTCTTTTCATCTGCCACCTTGCCATTTGCCAACAAACTTCAGTCCCTTTTTCCTCATTTTTCTTAGCAATTACTTTGTAATCTCTCGAATGTATCTCTAGACTTATCAATGCCAAAATTTTACTTGACAAACAGTTCAAATGAAACCGATTACTCATACAAAGGACCAAAAAGCCATTATCATGTTTTTGTCTTAAGTTACATGTTGTAAGGCCTTGCAGGTTTCAGAGCCTTGACAATTGTTGGCAGTATACAAGGTTAATTATTACTATATTCGGGCGGATAATTATATATATATAATTGGTGACATTGGTTGACATGTTAGTTGTCTGTGACAGGGAGGAGGTGGATAAGAACCGTGACATGATGATATGGCGACAGGAGATGGAGGAGGAGGTGGATGAGGTACGTGAGGCTCACGCCGAGGACTACCAGATCAAGATGAAAGAATACCAGGAGCGGAAGAAGGATAAGGACCAACAAATCAAAGCCAAGGTACATAACCTTTCATTCTCAACCATGACTGTTTTACCACTCCCTGTCAACCATGACTGTTTTACAACTCCCTGTAAACCATGACTGTTTTACCACTCCCTGTCAACCATGACTGTTTCACCACTCCCTGTCAACCATGACTGTTTCACCACTCCCTGTCAACCATGACTGTTTTACCACTCCCTGTAAACCATGACTGTTTCACCACTCCCTGTCAACCATGACTGTTTTACAACTCCCTGTAAACCATGACTGTTTTACCACTCCCTGTCAACCATGACTGTTTCACCACTCCCTGTCAACCATGACTGTTTCACCACTCCCTGTCAACCATGACTGTTTCGCCACTCCCTGTCAACCATGACTGTTTTACCACTCCCTGTAAACCATGACTGTTTTACAACTCCCTGTAAACCATGACTGTTTCACCACTCCCTGTCAACCATGACTGTTTCACCACTCCCTGTCAACCATGACTGTTTTACCACTCCCTGTAAACCATGACTGTTTTACCACTCCCTGTAAACCATGACTGTTTCACCACTCCCTGTCTGACGAAGATGACAGAATATGCATCGCACATTATCCTTCCAGTGAAATTTGACAAATTAATCTTGAACAAGTTTGGTATATTGTGCATTTAATACATGACAAATGATTCCAGAATATTGCATCAGAAAAATCTTTCATGCTTATCAGAATTTAATTTAATTGATCAAAATTGTTTGAAATAAAAACAAGAAGACAAAAATAAACAATAAAGTTACATACACTCAAACTTTTGAACACCAGGCCGAAGCAGCGAAGCGACAGAAGAAGCGAGGAAGTAAAGCGTCCAAAGCTTCTAGAGGATCTCGAGCCTCTAAGCTCAGTGGAGAGGACCAGTCACCGGTGAGCCATTCAAGATGCTTTGGCTCATTAATGTCAAAAACTATCCAAGTCCAAGGTTCATAAGTGTGAATAAGTAGGGTTTTATCAGCATTATGTACACTGTAACATAATTGGGCTAAATTAAATATAATATATTCAAATGTAAGTTAAAATAGAAAAAATTCCGAGACATTGTATTTTGAGATATGTTATCCTTTCAAACAACTTGAAATGAAAATTGAAGAAAGTCCATAATAAAACAAGAAATTTATGAAATATAGGATTTTTTTTGTCAGCTTGTAAGGTTTCTGTATGTGTTAAAAGTTCTATCAATCAGTAAAATTCAGATTAAAATGAATTATGACAATTGTATTTATTTCTGAGATTTTATACAATAATTTTCATTTATACTATCAGGAGGAGAGACAAAAAGACATTGATATTATAAATGAAGAGGACTTGCCAGAACCCGAACTGCCAGACGAATTTGATGAAACAGCCACACGAGAAAGAATAAAAATAAAAGTGATGGAAATCCGTCGGCGGCCAGGTCAGTCAGATAAAATATGTATTGTAATTTTCTAAACTTATTTTTATCTGATCATTGAAACTGCTTTTATATATCTATACAGTGCGTGAATAAGTATTTTGTTTGGATCTTTCTTATAATATAGGTGAACCCAAGCTCCAGCCAGAGTTAACGAATACCAATACAATAATACCAACAGCTCAGTGTCCGAGGTAAGTCAGTGTCATATACACGCTTATTAATCAGTGTCACATGCATGCTTGTTAATCAGTGTCCCACATATATGCCTTTATTAATTAAGTTATGTGCCTTAATTAAAGGCAAACCGTCTGTACATTACAGTGTAGATTTTTCCCCAAAGAATTATGTGTCACAGAATGCTTTGTAGAAGAACATCCTGTTCAGTCACTATACTGCCAAACTTTTGGTCCCTCAACTTTGATATATGTATCAGTGTTTTTTTATATATTAACTTTAAGATAACATTTTCTGTATTTGACCGCAGAAGTAACAAATTAGCCTATTGAAACATTTTCAGTGGAATCTCATTTAATATACATGCCAAAATTAAAGTCATGTTAAAATAAATGATGCCTATAGTAGTATTAATAACTGTTTTCTGAATATCACAGGGGTGAGCAGCAACGACGAGAAGCATTATCTGGGTGTAAAATATTTATCAAGGTGCTATTCAACAACAAAGAGGTCTCACGAACATTACCAAAGTAAGGTTTAAACGATTTTGTATATGTAAGACAAAGATACTCCACAGTACTTCATTTCTGGTAGTCAACTGTAATGTGAACACCTTAGTATATGTATATATGAATATAAATTGTCTCATACTTGTGATGTTCTATTCTATGTACAAATAGTCTCATGTTTAGTGTTCCACACTGGAAAGGTAAGAGTATCTTTTATCTTATTTTACGCAGGAGATTTTTATTTTTGTTGTTGATGAAAGATATCTCTTAAAACTTTTTCTTAAGCTATAATTCACTTAGGAACAATTATATTTGAATAACATTGAATTTGATGCAAACAGTCAAGACTTTCACCAAGAACTGACCCAAGATCAGCAATTTTTATATCAGTGTAAAGCCCTGTTTAGAGGTCTGATTAAAGATGCTTTCAATGCTGGGAGTACTGCCCACACCTACTTGCATACTGATGTCCTAACACTGTCAAAACTAACGCCATCCTAGCTGACTGCCACATCTATCAAGATATACACAGATAGATAGGAATTCTATTATAAAAATATAAACTAAATGAATTTAAATAATTTTACTTTCCTTTTTTCTTTCCTTTCAGACCACTATCTCAAGAATTTAAAGTAACATTTGCTCAAATATTCAACATAAAAATTGTCCAGTGGCCAGAGAGTATAAAGTTCCAGATTTTTGAGACAATTGGTTACAATACGGAGATACTGGCTGAACTCTACGCCAGTATACCAGAGGTCTCCATCACCTCACAGGGTGTCCAGCTGGAGAATCTGGACTTCAGTTGTGACCACAGAGTTAACCACAGTAACGAAGGAGTGGGCAGTGGTCAGTATCTTATGCTATGTTCAAGCATGCTCATTTGTAATCAAATTGAAAGGGGCCATCAACACAATGCCTAAATGATTTGATTAGCATACTTGTAATATTAAATTTGTATGTTTGTATACAAAGTTATTTTTCAACAGTATTTGACACTTCTTAGTAAAGTGCACCAGCCAAATCTATACCACTGTAAATGTTTCTCATGGAATATCACCAAATACCTACAGGACCTAACTCAACATATGGTCTCTAGCTATCTGAAAACCGTAAATTTTAACCTCACTCATTTACATTTTCTCATTAAATACACAACATTGGGTAGAACCAAATCAGTATGCTGTTTGTGATACTGTAGTTCACACATCTCATTACTTCATTCTCATGTATGTAAAGTCTCAACACTTTGGTTTATACTTATATTATATATAGTTGAAGACTTTCAGTTTGTCTTAATTGTTAACTTCAATTAATTATCAGATGAAGTGTTAACTTAGAAAATAACTGTGCCAACCTGTTAGTTCAGACATTTTTGTTTGTGAATAGAAACCTTTAAACCTATCAAGATCACAGACTATGATCTAGTGTGTAAGAGCTCTATATTAGGGTCATGAACAAATGGGTCTTTTGTCAACACTTCTATTAATCTGCTTATATTTTAAATCTGTATTTGCCTCAGGTGTGGCGTTTAGCTATGGAACAAAAACAGATAACGAGATGATCACCCTGATGACCACTGGTGAACTGTGCTGCAGTGTGGCCTGGGCAGTGGACGAAAACAACCAGCCTCTCGTACCGCCGATCAGCAATGCTGGCAAAGACAATGTGTTCAGGTATATATTACTAGTCCTTGTACCACCGATCAGTAATGCTGGCAAAGACAATGTGTTCAGGAATATATTACTAGCCCTTGTACCACAGATCAGTAATGCTGTCAAAGACAATGTGTTCAGGTATATATTACTAGTCCTTTTACCACAGATCAGTAATGCTGGCAAAGACAATGTGTTCAGGAATATATTACTAGCCCTTGTACCACAGATCAGCAATGCTGACAAAGACAATGTGTTCAGGTATATAATACTAGCCCTTGTACCACAGATCAGTAATGCTGTCAAAGACAATGTGTTCAGGTATATATTACTAGTCCTTGTACGACAGATCAGTAATGCTGACAAAGACAATGTATTCAGGTATATATTACTAGCCCTTGTACCACAGATCATTAATGCTGACAAAGACAATGTGTTCAGGTATATAATACTAGCCCTTGTACCACAGATCAGTAATGCTGACAAAGACAATGTATTCAGGTACATATTACTAGTCCTTGTACCACAGATCAGTAATGCTGGCAAAGACAATGTGTTCATGTATATATTACTAGCCCTTGTACCACAGATCAGCAATGCTGACAAAGACAATGTGTTCAGGTATATATTCCTAGTCCTTGTACCACAGATCAGCAATGCTGGCAAAGACAATGTGTTCATGTATATATTACTAGCCCTTGTACCACAGATCAGCAATGCTGACAAAGACAATGTGTTCAGGTATTTATTACTAGCCCTTGTACCACAGATCAGCAATGCTGACAAAGACAATGTGTTCAGGTATATAATACTAGCCCTTGTACCACAGATCAGTAATGCTGACAAAGACAATGTGTTCAGGTATATAATACTAGCCCTTGTACCACAGATCAGTAATGCTGGCGAAGACAATGTGTTCAGGTATATATTACTAGCCCTTTTACCACAGATCAGTAATGCTGGCAAAGACAATGTGTTCAGGAATATATTACTAGCCCTTGTACCACAGATCAGTAAGGCTGGCAAAGACAATGGGTTCAGGTATATATTACTAGCCCTTGTACCACAGATCAGTAAGGCTGGCAAAGACAATGGGTTCAGGTATATATTACTAGCCCTTGTACCACAGATCAGCAATGCTGACAAAGACAATGTGTTCAGGTATTTATTACTAGCCCTTGTACCACAGATCAGCAATGCTGACAAAGACAATGTGTTCAGGTATTTATTACTAGCCCTTGTACCACAGATCAGCAATGCTGACAAAGACAATGGGTTCAGGTATATATTACTAGCCCTTGTACCACAGATCAGCGATGCTGGCAAAGACAATGTGTTCAGGTATATATTCCTAGTCCTTGTACCACAGATCAGCAATGCTGGCAAAGACAATGTGTTCATGTATATATTACTAGTCCTTGTACCACAGATCAGTAATGCTGACAGACATTATGTTCAGGTATAACCTGCCCCACATACCATCGGAAAGTAACACCGACAAAGACAATGTTTTCAGGTATAAGTAAAAAAAACTTAAACCATTGGTCATAATGCTGACAAAGAACCTACGTTGACGCAGTCAGCCCCTCATACCACTGGCTAGTAACATTCAGGCATGTATTGATATATGTATGTGTGTATGATTTTAGGTAACATTATTTTCTTATACATTTATTAAGCTTGTCATTTTTAAGAAGGGTTAGTTTGCTAACAATGATGTCTACAGATCAGTAAAGCAGGCATTGGATCAATTTTATGTTTGCAGTGCTATAAAGAAGATGGACCCTATGCAGGCAGTCAGTCCATCTGGGAAAGTAGACATAGAGAGGCTGTCCAAATGGTTTGAGGAGTCCAGACTTGACCCCAATGACCCCTCAAATGCTGACCTAGTCTACATGCTTAAGGTATAACAACACTGACCTGAGTCTAGCTGTGATTTTGTGTCGTTTTCATTAAGCCTACCCATAAAATTGGAGGGCCATATAGTGTTACACATGTCCGTCCCATCCCATCTCTTTATGTCGCTATGCAATTCTTTGTCATGACTTCCCGCTTCATTTCTTATAAGGATTTTATCAATGTTTATACAAACATCAAGTATGAGGATTTCCAGATGAATTTGTATTTCATGGTTCCAAGGACAAAATTAGGTCACTTACTATATATGTGTCAACAATTGCTAATTTGTCAACAGGTTGTCATCAGTCCACCGATATCAGGCTAAGGGGCATTTTCAGACTTTTCTAGTTTGAATATAAAACTACAAATTTGTGCAGTGTTATGTTTGCAGTTTTGAGAATTTTCGGTCTGTAGTGATAACATGGTAACAGTATAAAACAGGAGGAGTTCTACCCAACAGGATTGTGTCCCATACTACGATCAGGAAAGTTTTCTTTTATACAACAGAATAGAACCTTGTCACAGTGGTCTATTTGGACCAATTGTGTTCACTTTGTGATGTATGTCGCAAATCTTTCTTGTTTCGTCAGTACACATTAGTGGTTCTGTTGACCTGTTCTTGTATACTGTACGTGTCAAGCAGAAAATTCTGATGCTGAGTACATAGTACATACGGTCATTAGACTATAACATTGACATTTGGTAGGGCTTTGGATAAATTTTATTTTGTATTACATCCTATTACTAGTAACCGCTAAGGTCATTCAAGACATAATTGGCAGGGCCAAAATATAGCTGTTTACAATCAGTAGTAATGTTACTACAGGAAAATCTAAAATATATTACTAACACGAAACAAAATTTGTTTGTTGTTAATAGCCCAAGGGAGGGGACCTGACCCACTTGAAGCCTCCCGACTACTTCAGACTGGAACAGCTCCAGGAGGAATTTAACATGACTACAGATGAGGAGATTGAGAACAACAAACGCTTCCAGCTGCTGCAGCTTCGTGATAATGAGGTCCAGGAATTCCGTAACTACAGGATGGTCCCGCTCAAAGTCAAGGAAATTCCACGGGACACTTTTACTGTATGTTACACATTTTGATCAAATGAAATCCAGATAACGTAATTCCTTTTGTAAATGAATAAATTGGAAAGTATTATGACCATCAACTTTATGGTTGTCAAATTATTACACATAATGAATATTCCACTTCCAATAATCTAATGCGGTTATATTTCTTACTTTTTGTATCAAAATAAAATGTTGAATGTACTTAGATACATAAAGTTTTTTTAACCATTTTAAGAAGAGTAATATCCAGTGTAATAATATGAAATTCAGAGTCATTTCAAAAACCAGTTATTATAGAGAAAGTTTACAATTGAAATGTTGTGTGTATGACAGAATAGCCACTTTTAGTAACAGAGTTCTGTCAGAAGAGTTGTTGAAAGGCTGGAAATGTTCTCGTGTTTGATGTTCAATATATGTGTGGGTATTCTAACAGTGGTTTCCCATCAGGACTAATTAAGTATATTACCGCGGTACATGTTTGTCTCTCTCTGTTATATGCCCGTACAATTTTATCAGCGGGTATATAGTCACTGGTATCCATATTCATCCCAATCACTGTTATCGCTCTCACGACTTCAGACATTTCTAGTTTTCCTTTTTCTCTCTCTGTTATATCTTTTTTTATGGAAAGGTGTTATGAACACCATTGCAACAAAACTTTATGATTTGAATAAAAAGTTTGTCTCGACTTTGTTACAATACTTTCTCAACTGAAAAGGTACAGGAAGAGTTCAAGTCACTGTTGGATGCTGTGGTACAAATGTTACCTGCCTCCTATTAATGTGTCTGCTAGTCAAAAGATCAGAATGATTTTCTTATTTTCAAGTCATTAAAAGAACTGTCCAGTCCAGAGGTATTGAGTTTCTCTTACTTCACATCTGCTTAATGTTCAAATACGCTTGATTGCTTATGACCAGATTTCATTTTGATTTTCAAACAAATTTATTTCTAAATAAAAAAAATTACTGTGATTTTTTCCTAAATTTTGTTTTAAATTATATACAAAAATCAAAATTCAGAGGTTAATTTTAAATGTTTCCAACAGGAGAAATTATTTCACAAATTAAGGTCACAATATTTCCTTTGTTGGCCTGTGATTCAGTGTTTATGTGTTTTGTTAAGTTGGCACTTCACAGGTGTAACTTGTTCAAATTGATGTAGAAATGTTTACAGTAAATGAACTTGTGTTTCACAGGATTTGTTTTATGAGATTTGCTACTCACAGCTTAATGTTAAAGTTGTCCACCAGTGTTTATTTACCATATATACAATATTGTTGAATCATTAAATCTTGATCCTTATATATGATAGCAAAATATTGGTTTCATGATCAAAAGTTAGCTAATATTAATTCTGAAAGTGTTGTTTTTTTAAATAATTATGAAGTTTAAAATGAAGTTATGCCTATAAATAGTTTCTTTAATTTGTTATAACTTGTATATTAAAAGATATGTCCTTCTTAAAGTTTTGAAAGCATCTTTCAAATTGTGCTGTTTATTTAATCATGAAATAAGGAAGAATTGGGCCAAGTGTGCTGTTTGCTGTCATATGTTAACTGGCAGGATGCCAATTATTGCATTCAAAGTTTGCATTAGTAGTGTATCCACATGTTCTGGTAAACATTACTACACCATAAACTTCACACTCACCTTCCAAGGTCAATGTATATCAGATAGAACTTACTGGTGATAATGATCAGGTAGTTCATTCTAACGGGGACCCATTGGTAAGTATTTATGGTGCAGAACTTACTGGTGATAATGTTCAGGGAGTTCATTCTAAGGGGGACCCATTGGTAAGTATTTATGGTGCAGAACTTACTGGTGATAATGATCAGGTAGTTCATTCTAAGGGGGACTCATTGGTAAGTATTTATGGTGCAATCCATTCTGGACTTATGTTGAGAGGTGTGGCCTTCCTCTATAATGGGGTTAGCTACATAGGAAACATGTTATCATCAGTAACATGTGGTGTTAGATTAGACTGTCTTTACTGCAACAAATTTACGCCCTCATATTTTCGATATTTGTCAACAATTTTAAAGTTGTCTACATCACAAATTAGCATTACAGCTTTATGATGACATGTAGGACTATATTTGTTCTATATTTAGCAGTTACTGTCTTTAAACACTTTCAAATTAACACGGAAATTGCTGGAATATTATGACCACATAACTACAAAAATGTTAACGTTAGGGTAAGTTTTCAGTATCTTCCTTGATATGACCTTAGCTGATGTGGGGTTGTTAAACAACACAAAACAAAGTTTTCATTACTTTTATTGTCTAATTTTACATTTAAAGAATAACTTCATTCCAGCAATAAGTAAGAATAATAATTAATTAAGGTCAAAACTATAACAGATGTGCTAATTACATTGAAGGAATATGAGAAAAAGAAGAGAGAGGAAACTAAGCTGGAAGTGAAGGATGACATAGAATCTCACCGGGCAGACAGAGCCAAGTTCATGCAGAGAGTGAGTAGAGGATTTCTGGTCCATTTTGTGATATAAATCCTCTAACAGTGTTATATTTCACAAGACATTCACGCAGGGTATTGCTACAAAGATTTTGAGGTTGGCCGTTAAGTGTGAATGTTAATTGGTGAAGCTGTACACACTTCTCACTGCACTAAGGTTAATTGGTGAAGCTGTACACACTTCTCACTGCACTAATGTTGATTGGTGAAGCTGTACACACTTCTCACTGCACTAATGTTAATTGGTGAAGCTGTACACACTTCTCACTGCACTAAGGGTAATTGGTGAAGCTGTACACACTTCTCACTGAACTAATGTTAATTGGTGAAGCTGTACACACTTCTCACTGCACTAATGTTGACATTCCACAAAAACTGGGAAAATGCCAAGTGTAAAATTAATTTGCAGGAAAATGAATTTTAATTATTTATCAGTGATAAATGCTAAAAGGTTACAATAAAGCAATTTTCATATCAAACCTACCCCAACTACTCTTGATCCTGTTGAGCCTCTGGCCCCTGTGGCTGTGTAGGTATCTTGGATTGGTATGAAATGGAAGAGAAGGTCAAGATAAAAAAAAAAAGGAATAAAAGAAAAAAAATTGTTGTCGTCATCCATATATCATCTCATATTCAGAAAGAGACATAGCATTTATAAGTTTGTGTCAAATTTACTTCACCACATATCTCTGATTAATCATATACAAGAATTGTCAAATTATAAAGCTGAAAATGCATTATAATCGTCCCCCTATAAAAAGCTAATTTTGACTTTAACCTTTACCCAAGTGAAGAGTGTGAACTATGACCTTTGTTGTTTACAGGTGAGAGAACAGGTGATCCAGAGGTTCCGAATCCTTGCTCATATGAAGAGACTAGAGGATGTTGTGTTGGAGGAGGCAGTACCTAACATTGCGTCAGTATATCACCTCTCACTTATATAGCTTGTAGGCAGTACCTAACATTGCGTCAGTATTCCACCTCTCACTTATATAGCTTGTAAAACTTCAAAAGTATCCTCCTTTTATTCTGTCACTGTGAATACCACTTGTTATTTCACTGCATTATTTTCCTGTCACTAGTGTAAGTAAAACCAGTCGTTCAAGACCATCCTGTTTATCACAACATTTGAACCTGTCTTGTGCGACCACCCTTTCTGTCACAACAGTAGAAACGATCTTTCAAGACCAACTATTCTGTCACCACAATAGGACCTGTCTTGTGAGACTACTCCTTCTCTAAATAAAGTTGAACATGTTTTTTAATACCACCCCTTCTCTCGCTACAGAGAGAGCCTATCCGATGATACCTCCTATTCTGTCAGTGCAGTAGAACCAGTCTTATGAGTCCACCCCTTCTGTCAATACAGTTGAACCAGTGTGGAGACCTACCCTGATATCATATCCCTGGAACCTATCTTATGATACCACTGCTCTCAAAACAGTTGAATCTGTCTCGCAGTTTAATCTGTCATTGTAGACCACTCATTCTGTGAACAAATTTGAACTTGTTTTTTGAGACCACCCTTCGGTCACTATAGTAGAACTTGTGTTTGAAGACCACCCTATGTAACAGCCTGATTAGGTAATATAGTAGGCCGGGTTCCAATCACAACACAGCTCAGGCGTTACCGGTTAGTGGGGTTTATTGGCCGACTAGTTTCGACTCTTAAAGCGAGTCTTCATCAGGACCTGATTAGGTGATGCTTTTTAAGCTTGAACTCTTGTTTTGTATGAATTAACAAATAGCATAGTCATATATATATATATGAATCACTGAACCAATTCTTCCATAAAGAAGTTAATCTGTTAATAGTTGACATCACAGTCAAGTTATTTAATTAAAAAGGTTTGTATCTATGTTACAGGATGATAGGTACTAGCCTGCTGAGGGTGACCGAGCGGCGACGCCCCCTCAGACCCGAGAGGAAGGAGAGAAAGAAGGTCACAGCCCAGGTTCTCAAAGGTGACGAGGTCAAGATCCTTGTCAACATCACACGAGCCCTGTACGTCCCGATCAGGACAGGCTCTTCCATGTAAGTACCGATGCCAATTAGGGATGTATTCAACTTCCTTTCAAATGTAATCATGGTTGATGTGTTTTGAAAGAATCTTGATGTTTTCATTGTTATTTGATTATGTCTTAAAAATATTTTGAACATAGCATTGCAAGTCTTCCACACACGTATCTAATCATTGATGAAATGGTTTGAAAATAATGATCAGAAAAAAGTAAAAAGGAAAATATCTGTATAAGTTAAAAATGTTATCAGTGATAACTAATTGTGTGATTGATAGGATATTTTTTTGCACTTAAATATTCAAAGCATTGTAGTTAACAGAATACTATTATACTGCAAAGCAATTAATTTTCTTGAATATATATCTCCGTGCTTGTGCTACATCGTATGAATTTGAACCAGTGAAATCAACAATAACATCTTTATGTTCTGAATTTTGAATTGTGTGAATAATATTCACAAATATTTGAATTCATACTCATAAGATTTAAAGAGTAAATAGATATCTTTTGAAGTACAGATGTATACAGTTAGCCTTCTGTACTTTCCTGGACCATAATTACCTCCTTTTCGTATACAGCAAATGTCAGAAATGTTAGTGATGTACTCAAAATAAGCATTGTTTGCACTAAGATTGGTGTAGTTTTGGACAACTTCTGTAAGATCATTTTAATTTTTGTGAGATTGTCATATTCCTCTTTATTCATAAAAAAGTTACATTAGCAAATTTAAATGTCCCACAAATATGATTGAGTCTTAAGGAATCGGTATATCGGTCATTGTTCCTTTCAAATTTAAATTATCACGAGTATGTTATTGGAAGAACAGTCAGGAAAAATAAGAATTTGTGACTATTCAGTGATTAACAAACAGTAAAAAGATGAAATAATTTTGCAGAATGAAGGATTTTTTAAACTTTAATCCATGTAGTAAAGTCTTTTGTGTGCATTGTACTGTAAACATATATTTGCACACTTGTTTTTCCACAGTGACAATTTTCAAGTTTTCGACATCATGATTTTAGCGCTAAATTTGTGTTATAACACATAAATATAGAGCGATTTTATATTTAGTGATCAACAATTTTAATACTTTTGAATTAGCACAAAAAGAACTAGAATATCAATATAACTAAAATAAGTATATTTATAGAATATTAATTGAATTTTCGATTATCCTGGCCAGTGTGATGATTTTAGCATAGTTTGCGTTTGATATGGTTTTATTAATATTCTTAAAAAACAGACATGCTGATGAAAGGTACATGTATATAAGGACAAGGAGATCTGTCTCCCACCGTACCATCTGACCAGGGGTCAAGCTCTCTGACCTCTTACTAGCACTCCCTGTGACTGCCAGTCATACATGTCAAGTGACGTCCATGTCGGAGTAGTGACCCAGTTTAATAGCCACACTCCTACTGTAGTTTACCTCTAATTAGCCCGTGGCAGGAAATGAGCACACAAAATTTTATCAGTTTTCACATTTGAAATTATTTCAAAAAAATAATCCCGTTCTGGTTAAAATATGAAGGAAAAAGTGTTACTCTATCGATTTATTCCATTTAAGCCACCTAAGTGTCAGAACTAATCATGCTATATTTATTTTATATAAATAATTTGAAATTTTTCTATGAAGACATGTGTGATGCCCTACTGGATGTTAAACTTGACATGTATGAGAATGTTAGTATTGTATTAACCATCACTCACTTCAAATTGATGCACTGGAGTCGAGGTAACACTTCTGACCAACGAATGGAACAGATTCCGTTCTATAGAAAGAAACCTATTTCATTCCTACACTGATGAATTTCTTTATCTCTTATCTCTCTTTCTAGTACCGGTAATAGTCCTTTGCTCTTCTTTAGAAAGGGAATTACAACGCTTCTTCTTTCTCCTGATATTAATAAAAATCCTAGACCTGTCTTGTATAACTATGAAATACAACCCTTTTCTTTACATTAAAGGTGATTTGCATTAAAAAATAACCATTTCACATATTCTTTCATGAATAATGGAATGAGGAGTTCTTTAAAACAGTATATTTATCGACTGAAGACAGTATACCACAGTTTACTTCAACAGTGTTGGGTCTCCACACATGATTCACATTCACAGATGGCCACTGTTGGGTTTTTTTAAATCACGCTCTGCCATATTTTGACTTCTCAGTTAAATTGCTATGGATGTGCTGATTGGTAACCAGTAACTACTGGTCACTGTTACAGATAACCAAAGTTGATTTTCTTTCACAAATCACGATGTGTGACATCATCACGATACATAGGACAATCACTGGTTTTATTGATCAGTGCATGAAGTGTGCTTCAATGATGTTTACCTGCAGAATGTTCTGAAATACAAAAAAATGACGAAAGGAATTCTGTTATAATCAATAACAATTACAGCAATATCATTTAATAAAAAATATTATAAAGGTACAATAATTGAAAAATCATATTTTCATAAAAAAAAAATGCTCATTTATTCTATCTTTAGCAATTCACTTTTTTAATTCAATCGAACATGTTAACATGTATAATAGATAATGAGTCGAATGTTAAAGGGTCTGGAGCATTCCCTACTTGACATTTTCACTCAAACTTTATCTATGTCTTAGTTTGAAACATGAGAAAATCAAATTGTCACCACAGATTGTGTATAAACAAAGGTAAGCAGCAAAACATATGATGATGTTGTAAGAGCACCTAGTACTGTTGTATTAGGGTTACTTTAATTTTATTACTACAGTAAAATAAACTCCTTCAATAAATCTGAGAAATGACAAACATTTTTATGGTAATGTATTAATCATAAAAATAACAAGATTTAGAACCACAAGAAAATTAGGAAGTTTACAGTAACATATTGTCCATGTTCTAAAGTAGGAGACAATCTTCAGTGATGATTTTGTGTACATTTCAGTAAAGCAAGTGGCTCTGCAACGGCCCGAGGAACAGAAACAGACCAGGCAGTCAAAAGTATTGTCGGTGATGTGAGTAGAATCCCCACTATTTAGATTAGTTTTCATTGATAATGTGGGTAATTGAAGGAAGTTAGCAGAATGTTTAGATGATTTAAGTTCTGTTTCAGTAGTAATTAAAAACATGGATATTAAAATTGTACGAAAACATCTGATAAATACAATAATTCCGTCTTGCCATTAAAATCTAGCAAAAAACATTGAAAAAAGTTAATGCATATAAAATTTTCTGTCCTGAGTAATAAAGTATTTGAAAATATAGAGGTAATACAGACAAATTCTCATTCTTTCAGACATTGGTGCGGCCGTTTGTGGAGGTGGTATTCCAACACTCGTCCATGCGGACAGTGGTTGGCGATGGTCCTAACCCAAGCTTTAACGAGGAACTGCAAATTCCATTCAAGTATAACATCACAATTTGTTCCTAAAAAGGCTCCAGTGTGAATGTTTGGCATATTTTAAAAATGTAATGATGAGCTATAGATAAGTACAATTAATAGGGTAATTCTAATTCTACCATGAATATCAACCAAAATATCGATATATTGCAGGGCATATATGAATAACAGGGAAGTGATATTGCAGTAGTCTGCTCTAATGCTGTCCTATCACAGACACACTTACCTGCTGATAAATGTACCTATTTGATGTTTGTGTTTACTTGTGTCACAGAGCCCCCAATGATGACTACAGCTCTAACAACCTACAGACCATCACTGACGAGCTCTACCTCAATCTGTTTGACGAAGTTGTTGTAGACATACAAGAGGTAATAAAATGGGTGGTGGACATTGCTTTCAGCATTGAAGGATTTCTTATCAATTTACTTATCATTATATTTGTTTTCCCAATGAGTTCAATATATTAAATCATCTACTTAAGTTACTTATCACTTTACATACTTAACTTATAAACTGACATATTAATTTGTGATTCAAACACTCAGGAAAGTCTCTCTGCTGTAAAATATGAAATTGTTGATACCATGAAATTAAATCAGAGGAACAGTAAGTTTGGCCCTGGCTACTGTAGGGTATCTGTGATGTGATACCATGAAGTTGAATCCTAACAACAGTAAGTTTGGCCCTGGCTATTGTAGGGGATCTGTAATGTGATACCATGAAATTAAATCAGAGGAACAGTAAGTTTGGCCCTGGCTATCCTAACAACAGTAAGTTTGGCCCTGGCTACTGTAGG